TTGATTTCAAAGACCTAGGCATGTAGGCATGGGCCCAGCCCCCTTAACCCTTGTTGCTCCAGGACTGCCTCGCTGACTTCTCTTCTGGGCAGGCTTGCCCTGAGCTTTGCAACCTTCCTTGCCTCACAGTGTTTACAATGAGGACGGGCTTCCGGCCCTCTCTTCTTCAGGCGGCCGGGTACTGAGATCCTTAGTGAGCCTGGGCTCAGCAAGTTCAGCCTTTCACAGTGCAGGACGGGCTTCCTGGTTGCTGGCATGGTCTGAAGGGTTTCCTGGCAGTTTGCTGGCTTCTTGTGGGAGGCCAGGTCTTGAGCCTTGCGGACGTCGGTGCCTTGCCCCTGAAGTTGGCCTGCCTGGGTTGTGTGCAGGGCACGGCTTCTCCCAGTCACCATTGTCGTCCTTTTCTGCGGTCGGGGCCTCAAAGGGCCTCGACTAGGGAGGATGCTGGCGCTGCACTCAACTGTCCTTTTCAGGCCCTGTCGAGGATCCAGGCCTCTTGCTGAAGACTCAGAGATTCCAGTCTGAGCTTCGTATGATCCTGCGAAGTGCTCAGGTTGCTCGGGATCCTTTCGGTGTTCCTCGTCCAGTTGCTTGCCTTCGCCTGGCCCTGACTTTCTTGTTGGAAGCTGGTTTTCCTGAGTTTCTCCGATGTTGGCATTGCTTGCAGCTTGAGCATCTTCTGCCCGAGTCGAGTAACTTTTGCCTGGCATTCCTCTCGGTTCAAAGGCCTATCCGACTGTCTCTCACTTCCGTAGGCCGCTCCTTTCGTCATGGCCTCTTCTTTACTACAGATACAAGACAGCGAGATAAAGGAGCAGGGTGTGCAGGCCGACAGCGAGATAAAGGAGCAGGCTGTGCAGGCCGATCTCAAGATCAAGGCCCGGCCGACGACCAATGCCTCAGTTCAGGTCGTTCCTGACATGGACCCCCGCATTTTGATCGGACAGCGGCAGCAGTGGCTTTATTTCAGATTGAGGAGGGAGGTCGAGCTCTATCGGCCTCATGCTCATGCCATGCTGGTGGGCCTTCCTCCTGAGTGCTCCTTGGTCTCTCAGCTTAACTGGTGGTTTCTGCTGAACATGTGTCTGGGTGTCTTTGGGTCTCAAACTTGTCTTGCCCAAGGCCTATCTCATCCTCGCCAAACACTCCCCGGAGGGCGCTGCGAGTGCAGAAAGCCTTGTTCAAAGGCTGATCCGATGCATGGCAGCATTGGGTGCAGCTTGAACCCTAAACTCGTAAACTTACAAACCCTCTCCAAGCGAAGGACAGCGCCGAACCCTAAAGCGGCTTCTGAGGCAACCGCTTGCTCAAGAAGGAGAGCGTGGCAGCTAGGATGCCGCGCGCGACGGTTTGGACCCATCCGGAGGGCGTCGTCCTGGACCACGTCTTCAAAGAACTGAGGAGGCTGAGCGCCTTGGACGGAGCCGGGGTGCGTTCCTGAACCCTAAACCCTAAACAGTAAAGCCGCTACTTCACAGCATCTGCGCCGAGGAGACCGGCGCGAGGATTAGGCACGCCAGGCATGATTGGAATGATCTCCTCATGGTGATCGGGCCGCTCTTCTTTGGTTAGCCAAGTCGTGGCTTTGCCTGGTCGATCAAGAGGGCGATGGGAAACAAAAAGCCAGCTAAGGCTGACCGTGTTTGTTCGGCTGCTGCCGACTGCTGCTGCTAGCTGCTGTTGTCATGCTCGCTGAGGTCCTATACGTTGTGGTGCTCCGCCGGTCTCTTTCGGAAGGCCAGGTCAGGCGCACTGCCCGCAGCACTTTGGAGTTGTCACCTCCCCAGGTCCCGAAGCGATCCTGGCCTCTCTGCTCCAGGCTAAAACGGATGCTTCCTTCCGTGCTTTCTTTGTCTTGTCTGAATGGCAGGACTCTGAAGGGTGCGGCCGCGTGCTCCTGCTTTCGTGGAGGCACGCCAGCTTCCCTTCTGCCTTGCAGCAGCTTATGGGACTCTGGGTGCATGCCGTTCCTGCTCGGACTTTGAGCGACTGAACCATTTCACTTTTCCGCAGGCCTCTCTGGTCAAGCTGTAGTGAGCAGCCATAGCCATGGCTTTCATGGCTTTCTCGTCGGATGCCAGCACTCACCCTGATATTCCAAACCTCTTCCCCAGCGAGGAGGACAAGAAAGACATGGAAGTGACCGCCTATGAGAAGGCCTATTGGCCTTGTCACGTCACGTGTTTACTGCAGCTTGTCCTTCATACTTACTTCTAAACATGACGTGTTTGAAACCGAGGTTCGTGCGCGAGTGCTGCAGAATTCCGTCGAAGGCACAATTTTGCTCGAGGGCCTCGGCTGCGACGACGAGGCCTTCGTGGCTCTCCAATCGTTGCTGGCGACCCCTGGCGGCCAGCAGCGATCGATGGAACATCTCGGGCTGGACCTCCTGCCTCAGTTTCTGCAGGACAGCCCCCATTCGCAACTGCGTCAGCGGGCCGTCCGCCAGCCCGGCTTCTACAGACACCCCTTCCCTGAAAACTTGGTGATCCAAGCGTGTCGATCTGCGGTCGACGCCATCTGTGGCCTGTCTGAAGTTCAAGGGCCTCTCACTCTTTGCGCAGGAGTTGTTGTCATATCATGCTTCTCAGCAACTAAGGCAAAAAATTCGAGGTCGGCGGCGGCACTCCGGGGGATGATGCAGAAGGAGACAAGCAAGAAGAGGAGTCGGAGGAGTCGGATTACGACCCGGGGATCCTCGACTCAATCGTGCTTCAGACTGACGTGCAAAGTTGCTTGGGTCATACTTTCTGTGGCTGTGAAGTGAGGTGGCATCAGTGGTCCCAGCAGGACTGGCAGGGAAGCGGCGGATGGTGCCTAGGCCGCGACGCTGTGAGTTTTGCTTGCTGCTCAAAGTCCTGTCAAGCTGACCTTTGGCTTCCCTTGAAATAAAATAAGGAACTCGGCATCTCACGGCTCCTCTTCAGGCCAAGACCAATCCCAAGGGTGGCAGTGCCTCGCCTGTGAGCGAGGTTTAAATTTAAATCTCAGGCCTCTGCAGTTGGCCGCTTAGCTTCATTCCACGAACCGGGCCAAGGCAAGGCCAATGGACCAATTGGGGCAGCTCCTCTTCAGGGCAAGGCCAATGGTACCTGGGCTGGGAGTTTTATAGGTGAACTTGTCAGGTCTTTCCTTGAAGGGCTTTGTTGCGAAATCTTTTTATTATCTTACTTCTGAAAACAAGGAACCGTAATAACAATGACGGCGACGGCGGCTACTGGCAGGGGCAAGGCAGCTCCCAAGGGTACCCCGGCTGTCAGTCTTCCTCGGTCGTCAGCTTGACCATATCGCTGTTCCTTCAAGCTTCAATACAGTTTGGGATTGAAGGAATACTTCGGCACCCTGATCATCGCGGCAGCTCCTGGCTTGGCCGCTGGCCACTCGCGGCCTGGAATCGCGGCAGCTCCTTGCTTGGCCGCTGGCCAGTCCTGGCATGGAATCGCGGCAGCTCAGACTAGGCCGCTTTGCTTTTGCCGAACCCCGAGCTCTGGCCGATCCGATGAGTAAAAAAGGTACTCTTCAAAGCATGGGAGTGGTGTGGTAGTGGTCACACATCAAACAAGAATTCCTTCGCGACGCAGGTGGCATCCTTCTTGCCTTGAAGATCGACAGAGGCAGTGAACCAAGCC